CTCACCTGCTACTGCTCCCCCCCCATCACACGTTAGCTGTGGGAGGGGTTGTGAAATCTACCGAGAACATTCCCATGCACTGTCCTTCAGACTGAATAGCTGAAATATCTTGCAGGCAGCCGAGCCCCCAGCATACCGGATACTAACAGGAGAGAGCAGGGGGAGGCAGCAGCAGCTGCTAACCAATTCAGACTGGAATTTCAAGCACCAAAGCTAGGATTGCATAACTGGCTCGCCCTCGAAGCCTGGGGTGCCGCTTTCGCTGCGGGCTTGTTGCCTGCTAAGCTGTAAAGCGGCGTTCCGCTGCCAGTGCGCGCGGCTGGGCTGACGGGCGAACACAGCCAATTCACGGGCCTGGGCAGGCACCTAGAGGAGAGAGGGCGAAGAGACCCGCAGGCGAGCGTTAGACACTGGTTGCTAGGATACGGTGGAGATCCTCCATTGCTAGGCCGACAAGGAAAGGAAAAAAAAAGTGCCAGGCCTTCGCAGCCAACAGCAACAATAGAAACAGAGTCTGCTTCCCTCTGACCCCCTCCCCTCCACCCCCATCAGGAAACCAAATCCTAGTCTTCAGCGAAACAAGGAACACAAGCCTGGAAATGGGGCCCCAGCAGCCAGAGAAAACTGCCATTTGTATTCTAGTGGCAGCAGCTAGTGCCTCTGTATTAAAGGATCTGTTAGTGTTTCCATTATAAACCCCCTTTTCTGGGGTACAGAATTTGGCTGCCCCTCAAACTATCCCGCTACCTCCTCTCAAAAGAGCCTATTGATGTCTTCATTGTCCTAGTGTCCATGGAAGAACTGAAAGGAGTTGGAGGATTTTCTCCTAAATGGCTATTAATGAATAAGTAAATTAAACACATAACTACACTTCTACCTAGAACTGCAGGGAAACGCAATAACTGCTGCAAACCTTCAGCCAAACAGTGCGAAATATAGAAGGCATGCTGCCCTTCACCTCATGTTAATGATTCCTGTCTTTTATTAAAGCCATGTGATCTCTACTAATTGTAAGAGGGTTATGGACATGCTGCAAGGGACATACAGCACTGAAACAATTAATAGGGATGAGATGTGTAAGGTTTCACAATGGAATTAGTACTCTGTGGAATGATGTATTTTAAAATACAATCCCTTTTCCTCCTGAAGAGATGCAACAATCTTCTCAGTCAAATGTTACAGTCACTCAAAAGTACACATTATAGTTACATTCTTAAACTATTGAAAAAATTCAACCAAACTACAGCAGGAAATCACTCCCTTACCTAAAGAGGCCGGAGAGAATTAGAAGTGCACTCTTGCGAATTAGTTTCCTAAATAAAAGGATGCCAGCAAAGTACCTTATTTTGGTATGATTTCATGACACACACACCCTCCCCCCGTCAATATTTGGATAACACAGTGAATTACATATCTTATTTCTGATGCTCACAACTGGATCTGAATTGCCCTTAACCTTGAAGGGAAAGTGATTCTTATGCAAGCTAATATTTCTGTAAACTCTGAATGGCGCTTTCTAAACCACCTTTTTCTTTAAAAAAAGAAGAAAAATTAGCCACAATTACTAAACTTGACCTGGTTGTACACAGGGCTTGCAGACTTGGAATTAACTTTTTAAAAGTGATATGACTGGTGTGTTGGTTTATTAGATTTAGACAAAGGGGCTGTATATACACTACACAGATATTTAAAAATATCTCCACACAAGATGTGCTCACATTCACTTGCTTAAAAGGTGGTCATTTAAACCTATGTATATAAAACAATCTGGATATTCATAATCAATAACCCAATTATTTAAGGTTTCAGAGTAGCAGCCCTGTTAGTCTGTAGCCGCAAAAAGAAAAAAGGAGTACTTGTGGCACCTTAGAGACTAACTAATTTATCTGAGCATAAACTTTCCTGATCTTGTATTACCTATCAGAGTTATTGCATTATGTCACTTTCCAAGAACCACTTCAGTGAACGTATAGCTCACTTTCAAACTTCCAGATCTGTTAGCCACTTTGTTTTTCACTTCAGCCAGACTGAGGGACAGCGCAGACCTATATTATTCCTTGCTTATTATGCTTCACTGACACAAATAAAGAGAGTCTTCAAAGGCTTTTCCATGGGAAATCCGATACAGACTGGAATGAATACAAGGGCCACGTGTCAAACTGCTGGAGTGCCCTGCTTCATACTTCCCACATCGGAAAAAGCAGTACAAGAATGGCCTAAACAACCCATAAGCCATGCTGTTGTGAGAAATCCCCCCCCCCCCCCCACCTTCCTTTCACTAACCGCTTATACCGTAAGGAAAATGTCAGCTATAAACAACAGATATGACTTAATGAGGCCCCTCTCCCCTTCCAGCCTTTGACTAGCTTTAGGGGGGGGGGGCGAAGAGAGAGACTTCCCAGAAGCAGGGATTCTGAGTTTTAACTCTTAATGAGACACATTTGATGGTTACAGACCAGACAAATACATTTGGACACATCAAATAATAAAACAAAACATTAGGCAAGCAGTGAACTGAATCTAACAGAAAGAGGCTAGCCTATTGTAATGTGTACAAGAGACTCAATGCTAGCTTTTAGTATTGGGTATATATTTACTTAGGAGATATTTCCTCTAGCAGATTTGCTTCACCCACACAAATTCCTACTCACCTTATGGTCTAGGAGAATGTTCTAAGTTAAGATATTGAACTGCAAACCTTTTTTATATATCAAAAATGAAAAATTTCCAAAATGACTTAAAAAGAATCGTGCTGATAACACCTTAAACTGCGTGTGGTGTTCTGATATAAGACATGAATTAAAGAGTACACAAGCTTTTTCGTGATTATGAGACCAAAACACATCAACATTTATTGGGGAGTGAAAAAGATATTAAGCACTGTATGGAGGATAGTGTCTCTCTTCCATACGTGCTCAGTTTTCTCACTTAAACCAATTTGCATAGTCTGTGACGGCAAGTGTAAAACAAGGATAGATGATCTCCCAATTTTATTTAAAGCTTGAAAGAGATTTATTGCAACTGTCCCTTCATCTAGTGTGTTGACAACCACAACAGCACAGTGGCGAAAGTCACAGGAGTAGCTTTCTCCCCTCCTGAAAAAGCTCGCAAGCGCGGGGAGGAGTAATATCAAGAAAGGCAGGGCGTTACTCAGAACGTGAGTCTGATGGAAACCTGCGCATTGTTTTCAACCTTAGGCTCTTCCCCACTTGTCCTGTAGTTGGGCAGGTAAGGAACTCCCCACACCTGTCACTCACCCACCAACTTCACCTCACCTCTCACTCTACATTACACCGTCAGCAAAGCTTTGATCGGCTATATTTTTCGTTGGCAAGAGGTCTCTTATTGGTGTTGATCGTTGTTCACCCCAAACTAATTCTCTCTCATTTTATCTTTTAACAAATTTAATTGCTTGATATTTATTACTCCAAAGCCCTCCATAAAATGCCACAGAACTATCCAGGGAACTGTTAGTTTATCACCTTCTCCTTAGCCAAATGTGCCTAAGTAGACAAGGCCACATGCCTCATTAGATACACAGGTATGTCTGCCAATACCTTACAAGACTAAGTTAGAAGTGGGGTGAGAACTTGCGTCGCCAAGTAAGCGTTATTAGCTGAGCTACAAAAACTGCTCTTGGAGCTCAAAAATCAGCAGACACTCCCTTCTAAACAGCATCCGCAAATACCTACAGTCCCTGCCCCGTCAAACTATGACACCTTCTCACTCCAAACTGAAGGGGAGATGCTGCATGAGGAGCACCAGTGAAAACACTTTACACACCCGAACCAAGGACGACTGCCAAATTTTCAGCAGTCAGGTTACAGCTAGAGCAGTCTAGTTACAAAATGATGTAGACAAAGACTATTGCGGATGGAAATAAAACCAAAAAAGCAAGGAAACAAACACTCTTCCCTTCAGCCCTTCACTCCTGTTGCGCATAGACCGTGTAGGAGTTTCCCAGTGCCGCATGACAACATCTGCTCCAATACTTAGCCATAATTGGCTCAGTGTATACAGGCAACGCAACTTTTAACCTCGGAATTTCCTTGGTTGAGACACTTGTATCACAACCTCGGTGATGACTGAAATGCAGTATAGCGACTCTTGCGTGTAGGATATATATTTTAAATCTCCTCTAGTGGTTCGGTAGGCTTGGCTGCTAAGCTACAGCCAGGAGCCAATTTTTATATCCAAGTTCTGCGTCCCGGAGGATGATGTTTAAACCTAAAAATGTGCAAACTTAGCTACCTGACAACAGCGCCAGCAGCCACAGCTCAGATACAGCCTTGACCCCAGGAAACATGCAAAGCAGTTGTGCAGAGCGCTATGAAACCAGTAACACTAAGGATCTGCGTCAGATAAGACCTTTAAAAACCCCACACTTGTCAGATGCAATACCAAATTAAAAAAACCAAAGAAAGAAATCACGAGACTGGATTTGCCTGTCAAATTCTGGGTGCTAACTATAGCAGCTCAGGAATTAGCAACACCTTTCTTAGAGGGGAAAAATAATCAGGAGAGTCAATTCTGTTTTGCTTCATAGAGTTCAAACGCCAACCATTCAGCAATGCGGACAAATTCAGGGCAGAAACCATGAGCACAAAAACAGACATAAAAACGTACCACATTGGAAAAGACAGTCTGATGAAGCAGGCGTTAGCGGGTTTTTTTTTTTTTTTTTTTTGGAAGGGCAATTTCACCCCAGTAATAGGGAGAATGCGCTTTCCCCCTTCACGGTCTAGGAACTCTGCTCACAGTGGGTTCGGGAATACCTGGACCTCTGACAAAGACACCACGGAATAGGGATGCGAGCAGTTACCGTGGCTGAAGAAATGTGGGCAGCCCAAGAGAAGCGTTAGGAGGAATATTTCTGAGAATGAGAACAGAAATGGAAAGCAGAAGGTGCAGGACTCGTCTAAACAAGTGGATGGACAGACAATACAGAGACCATTCAACTACCAAAGACAGGATGTACACAACGCTTAAACCCTGCTTACTGTGGGCTCTTGGGGTAGAAGGGAAGGGTGACATGGCTGAGATCCTGGATGTCAAATGCGGTGGGCTCGGCTGAAATTGCCTGCCTCTTGGTCCTGTGTTCCCCCTGCAGGGTGCTGGAGGTTTGCTGCTGCGCCTGCTGGGTGGCGGGCCGGATCACCGAGCGGTACTTGTCCAGCTCGTTTTGTAGTTTCTGGATCAGTTCGTCCTTCTGATCCAACTCCAGCTCCAGCTCGTCTATGAGAGCATCCCGCTGCCTCAGCTCCTCGATTTTCTCCTGCAGCGCGTACTGTAAATCCCGCAAAGTGCCCATACTCCTCCTCGGGCCAGGGGCGCCTTCCTCCGCAGCCGGTCTCTCCCCCGCTCCCAGCAACTTTCCCCGAAGTAGCCGCAGCTTCCCACTTCAGCCAACTTTGCCGATCGCTCCCGATCGACCTGCCGCCGGCAGATTCCGCTCGCCCTTTAAACACGCCTCCAGCCTGCGCCGGCTGGCTGGGCGATTTGGCAGCGAGCCGCGCTTGAGCTACGGAAGGAGGATTAGAGACATAATCTTAAACGGAACCCCACCGGCACCACTCTACCGGAGGCTGGGTTGTTAAGGGTGATTTCGATCTGCCTGCGTCAGGCTAGACTGGAGAGAGCCAGAGCCAGAGCGGGGCGGGGGAGACCGAGAGAAAGGGGCGTCTGCAGGGTGCCGCTGCACATGCACGGCCCCTAGGACTGTGGCACTGGTAGGGCTGCTTGAAGGCTAGCGAGGTTTCCGAGCCTCTGCCCCGACACTGTTTTGGAAGCGGGGGCATCAGAAGGTGATTTTGCATTCCAGCCGCTTAATGCTCAATGCCACGTTTTCGGGGCACGTCCGGCAGCCGACAGGGCTGCAGTTCGCTACACTCTTGAGGTTCCACCGGTTACACTTCCTCAAATAAAGAAACACATCATCAGGCTGCTAAATCTACTCCAACTGCAGAAAAAAATCTTCGCGACTTGATCTGTTTCTACCCAGTACAGTTACAGTGTAGGATCTCTTTGCTTCCCCCTTTCCTAGGCATTCAGATTTTACAGCCATCACTTCGTTCATTAATTCACTGTCGTTACAACTATTAGAAATAAGCAACTACGGTTAATGTTTCACAGTCCAGTAAGTCGGTTTTAAATTTAGAAGAAACAAACTCTCATTTAGCCTGAAACAGACTGCTAAGCACAAGATCCGCTCATAGTGTTACTGAGGGTGCCTATTAGATCTTGCAGGGGTTTGGCCCACATCCCAAATTGCACAGCATGAATAGGGAACAGGTATAACCACTCCTACTGCATTCCCCCCCCCCCCCAAAAAAAAGTGTGTACGCTGGCATATCCTGGTGCATGGATGCTTCAAAAAAAAAATTGACATCACTTGAATCTTGGTGGATTCTGCTCGTGCTGGGCACCAATCCCCAAAATACCACTACATGAATAGAGAACAAGCCACTTGGTACATAAAAGTTTCTGGACTCTGATGCATTCCAAGAGAATAAGGGCATAAAAATGTTCCAGTAGCTGTATCCAGGCAGTTTTTATCCCTCATCTCCCAAATTCCACCGCATCCGTAGAGAATGAGTGTTATTCTACTGCATTTAAAAAAAAAAAAAAAGCCAGACCAAACCAAATTCCAACTGAACAACAGTGCAAAGAACCTGGCATATTGGTCCTGCCAATGTTTGACAGCAACCACCCCATTTCCACTGTCCAGTAAAGTCACAAAATCCTTTGGCCCTAAATCCCCATACTGTAAGTAAAAAAAAAAAAAAAAAAAAACTTGGCTATACCCTGCTGGATCTAGGTGTCTATTTGGATTTTTCACATGTTCATGTGCCAGGATGTATCAGATGATATTTTTATAATGGAATCCGAGCAGACACACTTGGCTTCTACATGTGCAATAGAACTTTCTCCAGATCTAGCAAAACCCAGGCACAAAATGGGTGTTTTAGCTTTGTCTTGCAAATGATGTGCTGGAGCATAGATTTTCTTGTCTAGTAGAGCAATGATATAGGTTTGGACAGTACAACTTGGGGGTTGGTGCCAAAAATGGAAGGATCCAGCAGGGCTCCATGCACAGGCAGCACTTGTGCTCGATGGCAATTATACAATTTAAGGGGTTAGGGACAGAAGTTGCCGAGATCCAGGTACTGGATGTGGGTTTTTGCAGCCCTCATGTACCAAGATGTGGTATGGTTCAGTTTTTGTCAGTGCAGTAGAAGTGGCTACATCTGTTCTCCTTTTAGGCATTAGAATTTTGGGGCAAGGCTCCAAAATTAGTCGAATATAGCAGGGGTAGGGTACCACAAATGGATGTTTGAGCCCTGACATCTTACCGCATGAGTGCTGCAAACTTTGTGTGTGTGGTAGGAGTGGCTAGACTTGTTCCCTCTTTTGAAAGTATAGTTCAGGGCACATGATTGAAAATATACAAGATACAACAAACTGCAGATGGATCCAGTTTTTAATCTTTTTCTGTTGTTGATTACGGTCATTTGACTGACTACACGATCGCAGCTTTCCACCTGCTGATGGTCTCTATAATATTAAGAAGAATGAAGAGCTGGGGGGGGAGGGAGGGGGAAATACTTCAGAAATCCTGTATGCAAGCTATTGTTTTAAAGGGCTGGACACTTACCATAAATATTTTGTGAGCCTCTGTGCTGCTTGAATATATTTGGTCCCCTATATAATTTTCAAGGAACAACTTTGGGTTACACGTAATGTTCAAATACCATTTCAAATAAATATACAGCAGTTTAAATCTTTTGACTGCATTTGTGTTAAACCCAAAAGTGATGCAATTTAATTTGTCTTTGCAAAATATGGACATTTTCTAAAGTGCTTTAACTTCAGAACCAATTGTGCTGCATATTTTACCCCACTTAAATAAAACCTGCACAATTTACTAAGATTCACAACACCCAATACTATCACAATATTTCAATTTTAAAGTTAAGCAGATATACTCTGTTTACAAACTAGAAACCAATGTTAAAATGGATGTAGTATGTGTTTATTTTTCATTTTCTTCTCTATCAAATTGGACACGGACACCTAGATAATGGATTAAGGCTGTTGACTCAAGCCAAGACTTCAAAACAATTGTTCTATATAACTTTTGAGTAATAAACAACAAAGCTACATAAAATTATTTTATTTAGATTTCATTAACAGTGCATAACCTACAATCTAGATATCTGTATTTTACTTGTAAGAGAAAAGACATCCATGAAATTACACTAGATCAATAATGCTGGCAAAGGTGTAGAAGGTCAGGACTGATGTGTTTTATGAAGCATCATACGCACCATGCTCTGAAATAGGTTGACAGCAATGGTTATAAAAGTGCACACATCTTCTGCTTACTCTGTTGCTTAAGCCATTGCTATTGGCTTCTCATTTTTATGAGCAATAAAATTGGTTACTTTGAATTATTTCTAAAATAAAAAACATGATTATGCATAAAGGACAGGCTCTTGTGGTAGCCAAGGAAACCATGAGATCCAAAGACAGTCTGAGTGACACATTGCAGCAAACAAATAATGTAACAAATAAACGTAAGGATAATATTATCCCAAAGAATCCCAATGCACTTTACCAACTATCAGCCAAATCTTCCCAGGTGATCAACTCTGAAGACTGCTGACATTAGAAAACAAATGCTATTAAGCTAATGTCCTAAGGACACCAAAGGGCAATTGTGAAATCAGCATGTATCTCCTTTTTTGAATCTCCGGGGCAGCTTATGGGTTAGTGATCTCGTTTGTGTTCTCAGTGACAGTTGTCTTTGGGGGACTTGGAGGGCTGTCCCACTCAAAAATAATTTTTAAAAAATTCTACAAAAAAATGTGCTTGTCATGAGGCAGCCCCACCTAGAGCACCCTCCATGGCAGGCTGCACCATGACAGACACACTGAACTCAGTTTTCCTGTATCATAGACCCCACAAATAATTTAAAGTGTTTTTCTGAGTCTAAAGAGCCCTTGGAGAGTTAATTTATCAGAAAAGAAAACCCTGTGTATATGAAGTCCCAGCACTATAATCTAGGCAATACATCTAATACAACCTCAACATCCCTGATCACACCTGGCTCTCTGACACAGCCACAGCAGCACTCACCGTGCCCGGGCTGTTCGTTGTAGTCTTCTCCAATCCTTCTACTAGGGAAGCCACTCCAGCCCTTCCAATTGGAGTACAAGCCTGCTCTTCCTACAGGAACCCCCACAGCCTCTTGGCTAGGAGTATCCCTCACTCACCCTGGCTTTCTGGTGGTTCCTCTGGGTCCAGCTCTCCAGCCCTGGAAATGTAAGTGGGTAAGTTCCTTCACTGCTCCCCACCTTCAGCCCTCAAAAGCTGTTAGCTCCAGCTTAAAGCCATCATCCCTTGTTTATTTTCAGACTTCAGTCCTTTCCAGCCTTTGCTCTCTGTGGCTCAGGAAGGACAGCAAACTGCCCCTTCACTGGTTTCTTAGGCCCTAGCCCTTTTCAGCCTTCTCCCATTGGCTTTAGCCCTTAAAAGTCAGCCAGCTGGCCCCTCCACTGTCTTCCCACTCATTCCTTTTTTTCTAGACAGCTTTTCTGCTCCCTGCAGTTTTCCACACAGACTTCCTTGATTCTCCTGATTTTTCTTGGCTGACTCACTAGAATTCTCACTCACTGGGTCACTCCCTAATCTCTTATAGCCTCCAGTTGCTGCCCCATCTTCTTAATTGGCCAGACAGGGAGCACCTGTTCCAGTACAGGGGTGCCAGACCTGCTTCATTTACAGGGGCCAGCCACCTTATCACAGTGCTTTAATCCCAATTCTCTGTGCATTTCGTAAGTATTAATTGAATAATTTAATGCTTCTATTTTCCAGTTGAGGAATCCTTGTGAGGCACCTACCTTAGAGCTCCATAGTGTAGAGCAAACCACAGTAGAAGAATGAGGCACACAAACAAAAGGGCCTACAGTTAATGAGTTCATGTGCAGCTACGTACCCCAAGGTAAAATTCTGATTTTAGAGTGGCCAATTAGTTTCCCTTAAGTATCTGCTCTAGATGCTGCACACATTAAATGCTGCCATACTCTCATAGGTAAGGCAATGGTCAAATGAATGAAAACAAAAAGGCAATTTATACACAAGAAGGCTGCAACTTCTTTGAGGAACAGAACCAATTCTAGCTGTAATCTATCTATCTTTGGCAGTGTAAATCTTTGTAAGAGTAAGTGTTCTTGTGGATCCCCCAAGTCTATTTCAGATCACATAGCTGTAATTTCATGTCCAAAAGGGCTAGCACCCAGAAACATACCCATTATCTAACAAGACTTCCAATCTTTGGCCTGAAAGAATGAGCCCACCACAGAGGACACACACCTCTGTTCCTGAAAGTAGGGATTATACATCCCTTTAAAGTTGGATGGTCCTTATTTTCCTAGTTCCTGCACCAGGATTCAGAATAGTCGTTATATTCCTAGCTCCTCTGTTTTAAATGGCATTGCTACTAATCCTTCTGCAAGGAGCATCTGTCAACAGCCGCAGCTAGCACTTCCACTTAACGGCCATCCTCCAGATTGAAGACAGATATTTTAAAACCCTTCAATCAAAATGAAAATATGCACCTCTCAATGATCAGATTTGACATCATCAGGCTGGAACAAGCCAGAGTAGCTGAGAGGTACCCCCAGGAGCCAGAGCTGCATGGAACTGCACGGTTTATGCATGCCTAAATATCCTCCTCCAGCTGGGGATATTTTTTCTGGTTTAATCCACTGCAGTCCTGTTACTGGCTCCTCTCCAAACTATTTGTAGGAGGAGATCAAACTACAGTTTTAAGTAGGAAGCAGGGTTTATGAGATCTGAACTGCTGGGAGTTTATAGGACATTTTCCCACAAGCAGTAG